ATGCACTGTCATCTGAAATTTTATTGTTGTCAGATTGAACATTTACCTTGAATTTACCTTTGTTCATAGTCTTGAAATGGGATGAAAGTCCTCGTAATATCGAGCAATATCCGGCGGTAAAGGCTCCCACGTTTACAATTTTTGTAAACCTTTACATGATTGACTAAGAACCGAATCGATACCGTTTAAACGGTGGTACTTCTATGCACTATACTATACCATGTATTCGAGTCGCCAAATGATGACTTACTTTCTATACAAGTAAATAATGTTCAGTGCTCATCACGATTTAGGCGGCACACATTTTCTGCATTGTATCCGCATTTCGTTATTTAAAAGATCAAAGAAAAATCAACTTGAACAAAAATGAATTATGTCACAACGGCCATTCTCAGTTAGAATTTACACCCCTATCAAAATTTTATAAAAAATACAGATTCACAAAAACGCAAAACTGTTAGTCTTTTTACAAACTTAAACCATCTGTGAAGTTCTACTGAAATTATTTTCAACATCATATAAGTAGTTTTTGTAAATCGTCGATTTGAAAAGTGTATCCATTTTACCTTTTTAAAATGCCGGAAATGTTCGTGACAAAGTACCTTTTACTCTAAAAAGGGCTGCTTATAATTACATTGATGATATCTTATTGGAATTTACTTTTAAATATAACATGATACATAAATATTTAATTGTACAATTGATATCACGAATTACTTGACTAATTAAGCTTATATACTTTTTTAAAAACTCATATGCAAAAAGTGCAAATCAAGATATACTGCTTAACTGTGATTACGATTTGTCTCATTATTATAAGAGCTACGACCCAGTGTAATAAGTATAGTTCTTGGCATAAATAAAAACCGTAGTATCTCTGCTAGCAATTGTATGCGATGTATATGCTTTATTGTTAGGTAAATGATCACCTTGCTAAAATTTAAGTACTATGTAAAGCTAACGAACCTTTCAACCATAAACTCAAACAAAAAAGAAGCCCACTTAATACCCCAAAGCATACATATAGACATCAGACAATGATATTGAGTATAAAACCCATTATCTTTCTTGACTTTATAGTATACTGGTTCACATTATTTTGTAGTAAAATAAAGCATCGAATAGTATTTATGTAAAATGATAGTAACTAAAGACATAGCAATACAGCATATCAAAAAACAATAATTGAAACAACAACACCTTGATTAAAAGATAAACATGTATCAAGAAGTAGAACAGTTTACCAGATCAAATACATTGCTGGTGCTAAGATTTTAATCATATATTCACTAACTTTTTCAATTCAGATATGGTATATAAAATAACGAACCTTTCATTGTCAAATCAAAATTTTGATGCTAATATAGATACATTTATATTCAGATATAAAGTTCGGATATAGACATTCGAATACATTCATTACCTAATGATATCTATTGTAATCTTTCCATTTCTCAAAAAATGATATTAAATTGGAATGGCATCTGTAGTAAAACAATTTATAAATGTTTTCTTCAATTTATAACAACTAATTCAATCCAATGAAAACGTGTCAATATGGTAATAATACTAATTTTCTACTTTTAAAACAAATAAACATAAGCTTTTTACGAAGAGAAACATTCAGCTAGTATAAAAGAATATTAGCTATATAACGCAAGCATATCAAATTATAGGATCGGAGTCAATTTCTCTAATGATATGTTCGTTATTCACTGAAACTACTTTTTTGCAACAAACAAAGAATTGACCAATTCAATGTTGTCACCTCCCAATTATTTAAATGACCTCCGCGAATATCTTGTTTCTCTTGGCTTCATAACCTTTTAGGGTGTGTCCTTGGGTTCAGCCATATCTTTTCCTCGCCTACTGGACATTGCAATATGTCACGCAAATATTAGTTTTCAAAAGGTTAATCACAATTTCACAACATTGAAGAAGCAACGTATATTTTCATGCTTGTAATAATATATTCTTGATATTTTTCCGAATCTTCTTGTTTTATTATTTTACTGAATTACCGCATGTTTTCAGGTTTAGACTTCAGCATAATTGTCTGCACTAAAAGTAATTCAAAAGCTACATTCGTCTAGCTTGAAAAAGACGGTTTTTTACTTGAAAGGTTCGTGGCCCAAGACAACGAACCTTTCATGGAGTTAAATGTTTATTTTTTCATGTTTCCCTCATCATAACAATTTATCTTTATAGAATTGTTTTAAATTCACTTCATATATTGAATTTATAATCACACAAATATAATGTTTATTTGCTTTTTTTTATAAAACAAGCTTTTCGGGCGAGTACGAGGTTTATTTTTTACATACATCTTTTTCAGTTGTAACGTCTTGTAAATATCAGACATTCTTTTGATGTTCTTTTTCTGTATAAACAAGATATACTCACAAGATTTTTCTTAAATAATATTATATACATTACAGGATAAGATATATTATTTTATTCATATAAATTATCATAGGAAAGGTTCGTGACTAATGGTCACGAACCTTTCCTTGTTTGTAATCCGACATGGTATTGATAAACATCATAAAAATATAAATTCGCTTATTTCATTTGAAAACAATATCGTTTGTGATTCGGTAGGCAATAGAAAATTTTCTTGAAATTTAATAATCATGAAAAGTATCAAAATCACTTGCCAAAGGATTTTGATGGGAATTCTCGATCATGTTTATAACATGCGCTGCGAATAATAAGCAATCATTATAGACAGAGTTGAAACGTTTCAACCCAAATGACATCATAGTACATATGTTTGTTATCCGCAGCCGTTTACAAACAAGGATAGTGTATGCGGCATCGAGTAAAATATATCACCGCACGAACCTTTCATCACGAACCTTTTCTCAGCATATTTCAGATTCAATAATGTTGTTTAAACAGCAACAAAATGTTTCATTTTTGGCATAAAATACTAATTTTTACGTAACTTAGAACATTTGATGTGCTGGGGGTACATATTGCAGTCATAAACCCTTTAAATCAGGTAACGAACCTTTCAATTTTAACCCAAACCACATCACAACGTTAAATTCTACATAAATAATAAAAAAATTGTGCACACTATGAGCATGGTGATAATATGAAAGTATTATATTGTGATATTAATACAAAAAAGAACATCTAATGTTGTTTCAATGATAAAAACACTTCACTTGCAATATATGGTTAAAAGGATAACGAACATTTCATACTATCCGGCGACAAACACTAATCCCTTACCATTTTTTATGAGTTATTGTTACTGAGATCTAATTTACAAATTTATAGTCGTGAATTGTTCCAAAATAATACGGCATCAAAGAAAATTAAAACAATACAATTAAAGCATCTAAATACACGTTCACGTTTTTATAAATTGGACGGCGACAATCACGAACCTGTCATTTTCTTAACTTTAGGTGAATATTATTAAACAATTATTCATGATCAAATGGCGAGTTATTGTGTGTTATTTAAGGTAACATCTACTTTCTTAAACCAGCATAGATTTACAGGCAAATAACCTGCAATAATGAGGATAGACGGTGGCGACAAGTAAAAACTAAGGGTGTAAATTCTAACTGAGAACGGCCGACAAGCGATTATTGCACGGTGATGGTGTGTGGTCCGGGTTGTAAACACCCATTTTCCATTTTTTACTTTGATAAACCAGTTAGTATAGATAAAATCCATGATTACAGGAAATTATTAAGATAATTTGTAAGACAATATGGTCATCTCGAATAAACGGTAAAAAATATCATAACCGTTTATGAATGAAAATCGAAACGAATCCGTTTAAAAGTGTAACCGTGGGGGCCTTACCGGCGGTACGGTATTCCTCAGTGGAACTAGTTTTGTTGCTCTATGTTGAATTATCTTTGTTTCATGTGTTCATACCTTTCATTGTTTTACGTTTTCATGTCATACTTTATATACCTTTTCTAATTGAAATTGTTATTGATGAAAGTGTGTGAGGGAAGAATTTACAGTTCATAAATGTTTAGGCTACTGGTTGGGGACCACCAAAACCGGACGGCCCTGAAAATGCTTAATTTAGTATTTTCTTTGTTCAGTGGTTGTCACTTTTTTATCAACAATAAATGCATGTTTCTTCTAAAAATAAATAAATAAATATATTTCAACCACCGTAAATGGTAATATAATTTTAATTGCTATTTCAAGAATGTTGACGTTGAAATTTGGGGGGTCAAGAAAACAATGCCTGACCTCATATACCATCTATAATCATTTGCAGAGTAAACAATAGAATTTCCAAAACTTCAGCATTTGTTTCTGAATCATTGTCTATCATGTTAAAAATTAAAACACCCAAGCTGTTATCTGAATTAAATAACGTCATGTACATAAATGTCCGGACACATGGTACTGTAGTGTAGACAATTGAGGTAATTTTGATACCTCCTTCACCTTGTCGAGCCTCAGATATAAGTGTCAATACAATCAGACAAACAAGTTTGTTAGTTAAGTTAGGGGAAGAACCTAGCTGAACCTTGTCAATTTTTTTGGTCTCTAGGTTAAAACTTATGAAACCTGTACAGAAAAATGTTCAAAAAGTGTCCGCGGTTGATGGTCCCTGACCCTGTTGTATTAATCACAACATCTCATCTTAACAAAGATAATAAAACATACAGACCATTTCAATTATTTTTAGTATATGTGATCTACCGCTGCATGGATGTTCATCAACTAAACAATCTAAAATGATTTCTTTTTTGTTGCGGACCGAGTTGGTTTAGGGCCGAGTGGACACTTACCTTATACCTCTTCGTACACATTGATAAGATAAGATAAGTTTTATTTCAAGTCGGCAAGTTTTCAACAGTACAACATAAGCTCTAGGAGCTTCTATAACCGACTGTATATAACATAAAGTATAAGATCAACAAAGATAAAACAGCTACAATAAAAAAAATGATTAGACATGATATATATACATCACATACATAAAACAGACCTTTTTAGATATTTTTATAAAAATGAATCAGATGGTAAAAAACTAAATGATAGTCAGTGTTCCCATTCACGCACAAATCATCAAATGTGAATTCCGTATAATTTACAAAAATCACGCATGAAATTACAACTAGGTGCGTGCATGCACGTATAAAAATTGAAGTAAAACTGCCAAAAAATTATCCGCAAATTCGAAGCACAAATCAATAATCTACTCACAAATCTCTGAAATTGTTTACAAGACCGTAATTTAATCCGAGGTCATAACTTGGGTTTCCCAGCTGTGCTATTTTTAGCTCATGGACTGGTTTATAATTATTAACGACGCTTCGCACGCTTTGCTCATTCTGGGACAATTTATTTTGTTTATTAGTCAAAATCGCTGTATGAGTATCCGATACTTACAATTTCTTCAAAATAGCCTGATATTTGTGTCAAATAACGAAGTCGAAACTGCATTTCAATCTGCTTGAATAAAAATGGCGTCGTTGAAGAGGGAAAAGAGTCAACTCGGCCCTATACCAACTCGGCCCGGGTCAACTCTGAGGTAAATTAATCTGTCAAACTTGAAATTACAATTTACAAAATTACAATAATGAACCTGCTTTAATAGCAGAAAAGAATATTTTTAAGTAATATAAATAATGCATTAGTGTAAAGACGCATTAAAGACGCACATGTATAAATTAATTATTGTCCGACCTATGTATTTAATCATGTCAATTTATTATCTTTTTATAGATTAATCAAGATTTCCTCAAGTGTGAAGACTTTATCATCGCGGATGTACGTGTAGATCGTGAACGACATATTGTGTTCTCTACGAAGGAACAACTTGATGTACTGAGTCATGCGAAACGCTGGTTTATAGATGGGACCTTTAAGGTATATTTTTTCATCTACTAATGTACACGTACTCTATATACATGAAAATTGCTATTCATTGAAGTATAGTACAGTAAATAATTAAGGGTATTTTAAAACAAATTATTTATCTTTTAATCGATAAGTATATAAAATTATATAAATACATTGACAAAGTAAGATTTATCCAAGAAGTTAAAGAAGCATATGAGATCTGTAAACAGTTACAATTTTGTTGAACAAATATTTTTTTTTTCAGATTGTCGGTCAGCCCTTTCAGCGTGGACAACTTATGTCGATACATGCCTTTGTGCAAGAAGATGATGAGTGCCAGCAATTCCCCTTAATCTTCTGTTTGATGTCGAGACGCACCACCGCTGATTATGTTGCCGTATGTACATTGTTTCTTATAGATCTAAAATGCTAAAGTCGATATGTGTTAAAATACAAGAATCTAAAATAACCTACAGATTTAAATTTTAATTTCTTAAAAATCAAGATGTCTTTACAAGAGTTTATTTTATGCTGTACGTCCAAACCATATAAATAAAAATATAAAAAACAAGTCGTGATATGGGAGTAAAAAGGCGGAATACTCAGGATATCATAAATTTAACTCATTATTGCTTTTCAGGTGTTGAAGGCTATCCGTGACAAATTGGAAAGTTTGTCAGTTGAGGGTTTCATGTTGGATACATTGAGCTCGGTATGTATATATTAGTTGTACCCTTCGTTATTTACAATATCAAGTTCATTTTTTATACTTCATCATTTACATAAAATATAAAATTTTAAAAACATAAAAACGCTTTCATATAATTCTTGATTAAACATAGTTTTTATTTGTATTTCTATTGCATAAGTTAATTTTATAATTTAGCGGCATGGAATGCAGTCCGAGAAGTTTTTGGTCCAGGCGTAGATATTAAGGGATGTGTGTTCCACTGGTTTCAGGCGGTTTGGCGACAGGTCCAAGCCAATGGGCTATCCACCACCTACAACGCTCCTTTTAAAAAAACTAGATATTTATATCTATATCCTATATATAGAATAAGTGTAAAATGATACGTACATTGAACTTACCATCCAGGTCCGTTGAATTATTATATTCATTATTATCATTGTTCGTGTTACCTAATTGCAATGAACATATATCTTTCTGCTTACTTGATAAAGAAATGAAATATTTATATGGTATGTTTTAGTTATTGAGTTTCTACTTTTTCAGACTCACAAGTATTTGCGACAGCTGATGGCACTTCCGTTTCTTCCAGTGAATCACATAGTGCCAACATTCAGGGAGCTGCAGGGACGAGCCACAAACCCTCAGATTGTAGCGTTCTGCAGTTACCTGGAACGACAGTGGATTGGGAATCCCTCATTCCCAGTCAGTTCTTGGTGTGTATTCCGCCAGCCGGTACGGACCAATAATGATGTAGAAGGTAATGACATTATTTTTTTATAAGTTTATAAGTTATTTGATTAAATGAAGTCTGCTTTAGTAGCGAAAATGTTTATACGTTATTTGATTTAATGAAGAGTTAATGAAGTCTGCTTTAGTAGCGAAAATACTGGTATATAACACTACTTCTACTGTATATGCATATTTATCCTTTTTGCTAATTTAAGATGTAATTACATATTTTTTATGTCCTTCCAGGCTGGCATCATCGCATCAACAGGAAAGCTGGTGGATGCTCTATGTCTTTCTACAGACTCGTTCCTCTACTACGTAGGGAAGCGGACTCCGTTGGCCAGTCCCTACGTACAGGTGATCTGAACAGGGCCAGATCTTCACGAACAACCAGGATGGAACGAACACTTCAAGACCTCTGGGAAAGATACCAATCATCAGCACTTACAACAACAGCTTTTTTGAAAGCGTGTTCATCACTGTACGGACCGTCGACGTCGTCTTAGAGTGTTGGTATGAAATGACGAGGTGAACTTTCTGGTGCTGATGGTGGTGCCGTCGATGACGGTTGTATTGTTATGTAAACAATATATGTTTTGTTATGTAAACAATATATGTTTTGTCATGTAAATAAAATATGTTTTGTCATGTAAAAAAATATATGTCTTGTGTTTTCTTGTCTTGTTTATATCCTATATATTTGTCTAAAATATATATTTTGTGTTGTTTTTTTTGTCATGTTTAAATCATGTTTGTCTAAAATATTTGATTTCTGTTTTTCGCTTGTTGTGTTTTGTTTTGTTTTATTAAAATATGTCTGTACAGTTAGTCATTAAATGTTTAATATCATAGTAGAAGTATTGTACATATCTTTTCATATAGCGGTTACTATTTTGTATTTTTTGTAAATAAAATATGTTGTTGATTAATAAATGTATTGTCTCATTCTGCCTCTTCACTTGTTTGTATCATAATTTTGTAACAATAAATGTTATATAAAACACTGTTTGCTCTTTGTTATATTTATAAACTCTCTCTGTTGGTCTCTTTATGAACTACGTAAAAAACCGAGGTAAATCGAGTGAAAAACTTGAGTTGTTCCCCTTAGTTTACGCTCGCAAAAGAATGCAAATTTAGCCGTGTTTAAATCGCTAATTTGTGGCGATTAAATGTCCGATTTTTAAATTTATTACATCAAATAAAATCTGGTGATTTAAGTTTTCTCTCAGTATATATTTCAACACATTGTTTGACACTGAAGGTACTTAAATTTAAGGTTAAACCTACCACGAGTCAGAAATACAGTGAGATACGCAATCGGTTATCTTTTGTCTTTACTCGCAATTCTACTGATAAGAAAAGCCTGTCTGCTGCTAGTTCGGGAACTGACAGTCCATGTATTATAAATAATTACAAATATTACAAAAAATAGTGATTACACAAACCTAAATATAAATAATTGAAAAGTGGGCCGAGTTGACCCGTGCCGAGTTGGTATAGGGCCGAGCTGACTCGGGGGCCGAGTACGTTTTAGGGCCGAGCTGACCCGGAATCGTTGAAGAGCCAATCACGTGATTCACTCGCGCATTTATATAATTTCTGCGTACAGTACAAATTTAAACTAAATTGTAATTTTAATTTTCAATACTTTAATACAATTATAAATGTATGACAACCCCTTCTATATTCAATGCATGAATGGATTTTCTAACTTGTAACCGAACATACGGAACTATTTCTTTTGTCAACGAAATTCGGTTGGCAATAAGAAGTAGTGGTAGCAAGACACCTCACCCCCCAGACACTTCACCCCTCAAAATTTGAAGACACTTCACCCCTTAAGACACTTCACCGCCCAAAATCAGTAAGACACTTCACCCCTCATCCAATTTTTTTCTATAAAGTAAATAAAACAAGTTGGTCAACAACAAAATGCTTATAAATGTTTATATTTATTATTTTTAGTATTAGATCTATTTGATTAAAAATTTTGCTTATTACCTTTATTTTTACTAAGTTTAAGCTGATTTAGGTTAATTGGTTCAATGTATTGCCAAATGATATATCACGGCACTTTCATCCATTAAGTGTTTATGGCATGTCACCTTGTTTATTCAACATGTTGATTAGTTGTTTAATCAACGGTTATCTCACAATTGATTAGATAATTGAATTAAATTGTTATGATTGTATGAAAATTAAATTTATTAATTCTTATTAAATAAATTAAATAAATTAAATAAATAAATAAAATGAATATAAATGAATATGAATGAATGAATCGGTTGCTTTATAAAATATAGTAAATATAAATTATTTTCCATCATTTTCAGACACAATTATCCTGCATTTAATACAAAGATCATTCATAATGTCATTTATTAAACAAATAAATAGCACCAGTTATGTAAATTAAGCACAAGGTTAAAGCACAAACCATCACCAAATGAACGTAACTCAATGATTATTATATGGTAAGGATCAAACTGAAAACAAACTTAAGTACCAAAACTTCAAGAATTAAATCAACTCAAAATCTATTAGACAATGGGTTAAAACAATAAACATACTCAATCACTATTGAATGTATTTAACATAATCTACATAAATAATTGTTAAACACAAAATAAACAAGAGCCATGTCAACATGGCCATCCCCCGCCGAATGTGTTTGCTCATTGGAAGAATGTATATGTAGTAGAGCGGAATAATTCCATTTTAAGAGGTCTTTTGGTAATGAAAACTGATGGCTATAGTGATTACAGATTTGAAACCTATGTGAATACTGATGGCTGAAAATAACAAAGGGCAATTACTGAAAAATAATGCAGGGTAGGTTATCATTCTTGTGTGCTGCATCCCTCCTCAGTAAAATCTATCCACCTATGAAGTTTCAAGTTGATACCTCAAATACTTTTTGAGAAAAAAAATTGAATTGAAAAATTAAGTATGAAAAAGAACAAAGGGCAATAACACAACAATTATAAAAGGTAGAGTTATCATTCTTGTGCAGTGCACACCTCCTGAGTGAGATCTATGCACCTATGAAGTTTCATTTTGATATCTCAAAGGCTTTTTGAGTTATGCTCTGGACAAAAATTAATTTTGAAAAATAACAAAGGGCAATAACTCAAAAATAATGCAGGGTAGAGTTATCATTCTTAAGCACTGCACTCCTCCTCAATGAGATCCATCCATCTTTGAAGTTTCAAGTTGATACCTCAAATACTTTTTCAGATAAGCTCTGGACAAAATAGCATGGAAAAAAACAAAGGGCAATAACTCAAAAATTGTATAGGGAAGAGTTATCATTCTTGCGCACAACATTCCTCCTCAATAAGATCTATCCACCTATGACATTTCATGTTGATATCTCAAACACTTTTTGAGTTATGCTCAACTCAGGTGAAAAATTAGGTATGAAAAATAACAAAGGGCAATAACTCAAAAATTATGAAAGGTATAGTTATCATTCTTGTGCACTGCACTCCTCCTTAATGAGATCCATCCACCTATGAAGTTTCAAGTTGATACCTCAAATACTTTTTGAGATAAAGTCTGGACAAAATAGAATGAAAAATAACAAAGGGCAATAACTCAAAAATTATGCAGGGTAGAGTTATCATTCTTGTGCACTGCACTCCTCCTCAATGAGATCCATCCACCTATGAAGTTTCAAGTGGATACCTCAAATACTTTTTCAGATAAGCTCTGGACAAAATAGCATAAAAAAACAAAGGGCAATAACTCAAAAACTGTATAGGGAAGAGTTATCATTCTTGCGCACAACATTCCTCCTCAATAAGATCTATCCACCTATGACATTTCATGTTGATATCTCAAACACTTTTTGAGTTATGCTCCACTCAGGTGAAAAATTAGGTATGAAAAATAACAAAGGGCAATAACTCAAAAATTATGAAAGGTAGAGTTATCATTCTTGTGCACTGCATACCTCCTGAGTGAGATCTATGCACCTATGAAGTTTCATGTTAATATCTCATAGGCTTTTGGAGTTATGCTCTGGACAAAAATCAATTTTGAAAAATAACAAAGGGCAATAACTAAAAAATCATGCAAGGTAGAGTTATCATTCTTGTGCACTGCACTCCTCCTCAATGAGGTCTATCCACCTATGAAGTTTCAAGTTTATAACTCAAATACTTTTAGAGATATGCTTCGGACAAAAATGTCGGACGGAAGGACGGACGGACGGACGGAAGGACGGACGGAAGGTCGGACGGACGGAGACTATTTCTATATCCTCCGCCGAAATTTTTCGGCGGGGGATAAAAAATGAGGGGTGAAGTGTCTCAATCAAATTTCTTGAAATGAGGGGTGAACTGTCTGAGGGGTGAAGTGTCTGCAAAAAAGGGCGTAGGGTGAAGTGTCTGGGGGTGAAGTGTCTGTAAGCCGAAATAGTTCGGTTAGCGCTAGCGCGCGGAGCAAAAGTACCGTATATCGTGAAATGGAAAGGCAGAGTTGCGATTGTTTGGAATTGCGATTGTTTGCCTGTAGATGGGTGGTTATACCTTTGTGTCGATTTACATACGACACAAAAATGTGTCTATTAGTCTACAGGTTTTTTTTTGCTATATAACTGTAGCCGTTTAACGGCTACTTCCCCAGCTGGAAAAAAATTCCCCTTGAGCTAAAAAATTCCCCTTGGTCTGAATAAAATCAACTATTATGGCTTGCTTGTTTAAAAAATCACATTTTTATTCAAATAGTTCAAATTTTTAATGGCCTACAGTGTTTGATATTACCGATTGTCCTGCAAGTAAAAAGGCCAATGCCGACGATGGGCAATCCTCTCCATTACGCTGATCATATCTCTAAACATTCTGTCTTTGTGAAAATTCTACTCAAAATCTGCAGAAATTTGTAAAAATATGTTATTTTATTCATTCTTACAGATTTTAATCATTGTCTGGAAAAACATGGAGTTATATTTAAATACCAAAAATTGGAAAAATATTCTATTATCACATGTTTTAGCGACCTATTTGCTGTTTGATTTTCGGCTTGAATTTGGAGAGGAATGTGTTAGTTTATGTAAATAAATTATAAAACATAAAACAGTTAATTGATTTTCGTACATTAAGTGTCAAAATGTCCTTTGAGAATCATAATCTAATCTTTTTAGCACTTAATGCAGTTTTTACATAGAAAAATCAAAGCAATCATTCTGAAATAAATAGGGGAGGTGTGTGGGGAGGTTACAGCAATGTTGAAGCTTGGCAATATTACAAATGACTCAAGTGATTCCAACTGAACTTAAATAGAGTGGTTTTGTATGTTTAAGGAAGTCAAGGCCAAACTGATGGTTCTGAGATCTGAACTGTTTTCATTAAGTTTATGACCCACCTGACTTTTAGGGCATGTTTTTATTGTTTATTTTAAAGTTATTAACTAATTTTTTAATGTAATAGATTTTCCCCAAAATGTCATTTTATCGCGCATTTTTTCCCCAACTGAAAGGCCAGGCCGTTTCCCCAAAATTGAAAAAAAAGCCCTGGACTCTAACAGGTTCATAATAAATCAGTTATTATTAATCAGTTTTAAAATATATTTTATTTGCTTTTAAATCTTCAAAATAGATCTATATTTTTCTTTTTGCTGGAAGAGATTGGAAGAATGTGATTAAAGACAATACACTACTGGTCTGTATGGAAAATGTGGAAATAAATGCGATTGTGATCAGCAGCGTCTGGTGATGACTGATGTTAGTAGAGCTAGTAGTTTAGTTCCTTTCAGTATTAGGTGAGGTATTTCCTGATTAAATGTTTATTTTATACATTATTTTACAATGTGGAACCTAGGTTTAGATCTACATGTTGAACAAATTAATTATTCAGTTATATTTCAGTATTTGTTATCATAGATGTGAATACATTGCCTTATTTTAGGGCCTGTTGAAGGGGTTAAAATCACATTAAATAGAAATTGATAAATTAAAATGCACAAATAATTAAAAGATACAGACTTCAATGCAACACCAATCACATGATTAAGATATTAGATAATAATAATTATAGTAAATTAATAAACATTATATAAAAATGAAATAATAACAATAGATTAATAGTAATAATAATAATAATGAATTGATAATAATAATAATAAATTATTAATAATGATGATGATAATAATGATAATAATAATAAATTGATAATAATAACAATGAATTGATAATAGTAATAATAATAATAATTATGATGATATGATCTAATGATAATAATAAGACAATCATGAATTCATAATCATAATAAAGATAATAATAAATAGTTAATAATAATAAATTAATAATAAAAATGATTTTAAATATTTGTCTTTCTTTTACTTTTATGATGTTTATAATTCATGGTGTAGGCTACATTACAGTACAGATTTATAACAAATTATATTTGTCACACAATTTATTGCAATTTTAAGTTAACAAGTTGTAGTTCACTTTTCATTGTAAAATTTATTTTTCATTGAACCTTTTATTTACTTTACACAACCTAAAAAAATAAATATTTTAATATAATAAATGGATAGCTATATGA